GCCTTAGCCACTTGAGCCACAGGCGCCGAGCCTGGAGATTTTATAATCAAGAAAATAAAGAGAAATTGTGTGCAATTTCTGGGTCTACAATCATACTGTTATAATAGAAAAACTAAAACGTTAAGCTGGAATTTCAGCTTTAAAAAAGGGCAGCACACACACATCAAATATATAAGAATCCACAGAATCTAAGACAATTAGGACTCAACAAAGTGGAAGCACTGTCTGGATCAGAAATAATTAAGTCACATTCCTAAATTAAGTTTCTGGAATGAACTGGAGGGATTTTGCAGACATACAATCTGAAATGCATTTAAAAGACTACCTCTCACTCATCTCAGCTAGAAATTTCAAGTTAAATTTGCCAATCACTATGGAGTAAATCAAAGAATTTGAAGGGAATAACCCAGTTAAACTGCCTTTGATCATAAAGATAAAGATGCTGGCAAGAATCCAGGAGAGGGGAACACTCCAACTTTGTTGGGGGGAACGTAAATTAGTACAGCCATTATGAAAAACAATATGGAAATACCTCAAGAAATTACAAATAGAACTATCGTATGACCCAGCAATCCCACCACTGGATATATACCCAAACGGAAGGAAATCAGTGTATCAAAGAGATCTCTGCACTCCCATGTTCATTACAATACTATTGACAATAGTCAAGATATGGAATCAATCTAAGTGTCCACCAGTGAATGAATGAATAAAGTATGATAATACGATGGAATACTATTCAGTCATAAAAAATGAAATCCTGTCATTAGCAGCAACATGAATGGAACTAGAGGACATACGTAAGTGAAATAAGCCAGGCATAGAAAGATATGTATAGCATGTTCTCAATCACTTGTGGAAGCTAAAAAAAGTGGATTTTACCTTCAGAGGGAATTGATTGGTGGTTACCAGGGACTGGGAAGCCAGTGGGGGCACTTGGATGAAGAAAAGTTGATTAATGGGTATAAATAAATGGTTTAGGAAACAAGATGTAGTGTTTTATAGTACAGTGTTGCAACTATAGTTAAATGTTGTAAGGTTCATTCAAAATGGCTAGAAAGGAATAGGAATGTTTCCAACCTAAAGAGGGGGTGAAGGCTCGGCGCCTATAGCTCAACCGGCTAAGGTGCCAGCCACGTACACCTAAGGTGGCGGGTTTGAATCC